CTGAAGACGAAGGCAGGAGTACAATCATGCTAAACAAAGCAGCCCAGTGTCTTGAATCAATGGAAAACAAATACATTACTAGGATTTGGGAAAGAAGAAGGTGACCCATGAATTTGCATAGAGTTTGAAGGTAAGGGAGGGCAGTAGTGAGATCTTGAGGCAGGAAAGTGTATTATCCATGGCCATCCCATAGACTGAGGGTACCATTCAAGCCTATGGGAAAAAAATCCAGCCATTAGCATCTTTCAAATAATGAATGGTGGCCACTGACATCAATTCCTACTGCAATTTCTTCTACTGTGTGACTAAGTTTGTCAGAGGATAATTATTTACCATCCTGATGAGTCCAGGAGGTCTGCTAATTAATTCTTCAATGGGATGCTTGCCATCCTTGTTCCTTACTGCTGCATACTGAGGATTGCACATCAACAGCATTGGCACAGGGCCTACCATAACGATTAGACACGTTGAAAGCTTGGTGCCAAGTGTTATTTAATTCAGCTTCCCTGAGGTCAAAGACGGAGAACTTCTGCTATGCCACACGTATTTATCATTTTCGGAAAAAGTATATATGATCATCTGACTCTATATTAGGCGGTTAAAAATATCTATCCCAGGAAATATTGGAAAAATAATTAGGTCAAGCTGTCAATGTATTACGAATTTGTAAATTAACCTTAAGTACATTGGGCTGAGAATTTGTCAACCTATGAACAATTTTATCAGTAAACATGATCACAAGACTGAAATTGTCTGTGACTCTGTCTCAGCAAGGACCTAAGAAATGACTGAAGTAGATGAGTATGTACCTTACTAAAAATGACAATTAGAAATTAGATTCATAAATTTATGCAAATTTCTTAAAATACTGGGCTAAGAATGGTAGGCATTAAATATACCTATTAACACAGGACTGATTTAAATATGTTTGATTTAAATAAGTTGACTTGTTGCGTTTTCTTGCAACCTCTATTAGAAAAGAGATATGTAGGATTCTAGTTCAATAGCTACACATTGCCTTTCAGAAATTCCAACTTTTTTTCTGTTAAATTACATTGGAGGATGCAAGTTTTAAGCAATATTTTACTTAGGAAAGGCACCCAATTAAATTGACCTTGTCATTAAGAGAATCTCATGTGTTTCATTGCTGAATTTAAAGCTTTGATAATCATTTTAATGGTGCTTCAGAATGAGCAGCAATCCCTGTGCTAGAGCTTAGAGATTCTCACATTTCCCTAGGCAAATATGGGACAAGACAGGTCACCTAGTCATGTTCCAAAAGGCTTTTTCCTTCTTTATCAGATAAGTATTTATGGCAGACAAGTTACCTCTAGGCTTTATCAATGATGATGATAAACTGAGAAGGAATGACAGCTGCAGGAGAGAGGAAAAACACCAGGGCAAGCTGGAAACCTCTACCAGGGTGTCAGTGCGCATCAGAGGACCGGCAAAACAGCTGAGGGAAGGTGGGGGTGGGGAGGTGATGAGTGGTGTGTGGACTAATTCACTCAGTGTCAAGGCAGAGTTTAAACAACTCCGGGAACTGAGGACAGCCAAAGAACTCAGACGTACCACATAGAAGATTTTCTAAGATGATCCACATTTCTATTTCATATGGTAATTGAGCATTATCCTCAGCCTTCTGTTAAGAATAGTGGCTTTTGAACATTTCTAGAATAGAAGCTTGGCCATGTACAGAAGTATTCAGGCAGCAGTTTATCATCCAAAGACCTCCCAGCCCTTTACAGATGTTTTCCTTCTCAACTATGTTTTGCTGAGATTAGTTTCTAAAGACATCTATCTGGCTGTTAGATTGTTTTCTAAATGTCCCAAGATGCACCTACAAGATAGATTCTTGGCTGCAACCAAAAGTTGTGTAGATACAACTTAATCTCATCCACTAAGGCTGGAACTCTCATTTGGTTTCAATGTAAGAAAATGTTATCCTAGCTACTCAGGAGACAGACCTTGAGGCTCAGGTTTGAAACAAGCTCAATCAGGAAAGTCTGTGAGTCTCTTATCTCCATTTAGTTTCTATCCCTCTGTCTCTCTATTTGACTGTTTCTCTCTCTCTCTCTCGACACACACACACACACACACACAATTTAATATTATATTTAATAATATAGTCTCATCAGCATATTTTCTGTTCTTTCCTTTTCTTTTTCTTTTTTCCTTTCTTTCTTTTTCTCTTTCTTTCTTTCTTTTTTTCTTTTCTTCTCTTTCCCTTCCTTCCTTCCTTCCTTTCTTCCTTCCTTTCTTCCTTCCTTCCTTCTTTCCTTCCTTCTTTCTTTCCTTTGTTCCTTCCTTCCTTCTTTCTTTCTTTCTTTTTTTCTTTCTTTCTCTCTTTCTTTCTCTCTTTTTTTCTTTGTTGGTCGTAAGGCTTGAACTCAGGTCCTGAGAACTGTCCCTGAGCTTTTGTGCTCAAAGCTAGGGCTCTGTCACTTTGAGTCACAGGTCCACTTCCACTTTTCAGGTGGCTAATTAGAAATAAGAATTTCATGGACTTTCCTGCTGGGGCTGGCTTAGAACCATTATCCCCAGCTCTCAGTCTCCTGAGAAGCTAGAATTAGTGTCATGGACTACCAGTGCCTGATTCCAGTATATTTTTATTTCAATGTTTTCTCTCATTTTCTGAACAGATCTGTAAAAGGAAACAATTGCCAGGTCTTTCAGTTATGTATTTTCATTGTTGGTCTCTGACAATTGGAGTTTCATGGATATCTCACTAGAGTGCTGAGATGCAATTTTTTTCTTGCTTCCTTCTCCCTACTAACAATAGACACCATGACTTACTTACTTTTCTTAATATTTATAATTTCTTCTTTTATTTGAATTTTCCCATCAAATAAAAATCTACTTTACATTGTTTTTTAAAGACTTTATTTATTTATTTATTTAGAGTCTGGTCGTGGGGCCTGAACTCTGGGCCTGGGCACTGTCCCTCAGCTCTTCAGCTCAAGGCTAGCACTCTACCACTTGAGCCACAGTGCCACTTCCGGCTTTTTTTTCTGCTTATGTGGTGCTGCGGAATCGAACCCAGGGCCTCATGCATGCAAAGCAAGCGCTCTATCACTGAGCCACCTTCCCAGCCCCTTTTAAAGACTTTGGACCCTTACTCATGGAGTCCCAAGAGAATTAAGCTAACCAGGTGAGAAATGCACATAACTACTGCTCTTTTTTTTTTTTTTTTTTTTTTTTGCCTGTCCTGGTGATGTTGCTGAGCTTCTTTTAGCTCAAGGCCAGCACTCTACCACTTGAGCTACACTACCACTTCTGGCTTTTTCTGTGATTAATAGGAGAGAAGAGCCTTATAGACTTTCCTGCCCATGCTGGCTTCGAACCGCAATCCTCAGATCTCAGCCTCCTGAGCTGCTACAATTACAAGCATGAGCCACTGGTATCCAGTTTACTTCTCTTTCTTAATTGGATAATTAAAATTATTCTATATCTTTGGAGGAAACATTTTCCTGCAAGATGAGAAGCACATTTTTCTCTTCTAACCACCCTCCAATAGTCTATGTTAAAATTCAATAATGAAAACAACAGTTGTTACCTTTATGCAATTTACTTCTTTATACTTTGCACTTTTAATTGCTTATTATGAAATAAATTCTTAAATGTCACATTACTGCACCAGTGGTCTCCAAAATGATTTTGTCATAATCATCTTCTAGCATCCTTTTGAGATGCATTTATACTAAAACTGCATATTTGTTTAAATAGATTTTATGTATATAGAATTACTATATTTATCATATTGTAAATATTGTATAAACAAAGTGTGGCGGTGCGTACTTTCATCCTAGTCATTCAGGATGCTGAAACAGACGAATTTCAAGTTCCAGGCCAACTTAGATAGCATAGTGAGATTCTTATCTCAGAAACTACCTAAATAAGATAAATGCAGTATATTAACAATTTAGTAATCATATACTAGCACATTATCGACATAGTCCAGTAAAAGTAATATACGTGTACACATTAAAATAGCATAGTTTTATATCCTCTCTTCCCATATATACAACTATAGGAAACAAAAAAGCACAGTGCCAGAAAGCCAATGTAAATATGAATAGGAGGCTCATTGTTTTCTGTGCCAACCTCATTGATGATTTTGTACAAAGTCCTAAGGTTCATGCCTCACCTGGCCAAATCCTGGTGGTTAAGTGACTGGTGGTCCATCGATTGGTGGGATTAGGTGAGAATAAGACATGAAAATGAGGGTCCAAGAGGGTGTGCAATTAGAGAGAGGAAAGGCAGTCCTTTATGAATCAGGAAGAAGGAAAATGCTCATCAGCCAAGAGAAAACTTTTGAAACAATGTTAGCAACACATCCAGAGGGAGATCTGCTTGAGAAGATAAACTACAGCTTCCCTTCTGGTTCAGATGTAAGCTAAAAGCATTCCTCTGTTTATGAACAAAAATTGTTGCCCTGGCAGAAATTATAACATTTACCAGCACAATTCACAATTTGGATTATACAGAGTTGATGAACATTGAATGTTTTGGAATCACATGACCTTCAATAATCAGAAAAAAAATGTCAGAATCCCTTGGGTCTAAATCATTATATATTATTAGTCATGTGTTGAGAACTATTTGTAGACAGATAGTGCTCTCAAATACTTTCTTGCTCCTAGAACTTTATATTTATGCTTTTCTTTTTTATTGTTTATTTTTTATTGTTTTTAAGTCCCTTTTTGGTCATACATTAAAAGGTAAAAATATTCAAAGTATGATAAATAACCAAGAAAATAAAAAAGCACCCATTCTTGTATCACTAGTTAATTAAGTGACATTACCTTGTTTATATCTCTACAATGAATTGCCCTTTAGCAAAACTTAACTTCTATTAATGTTGCTTTCTGGTTTTTGTTTCTTTTTTTGTTTTGTTTTGTTGCTGTACTGGTAATAGAGCTTGAACACAGGGCCTGGGCACTTTTCTTCGGCATTTTGCTCAAGGGGTACTCTACTACTTGAGCCACAGCTGTACTTTAAAAAATATCGAATGCTTCATGAATTTGCGTGTCATCCTTGCACAGGGGCCATGCTAATCTTCTCTGTATTGTTCTAATGCTAGTATATGTGCTGCCGAAACGAGCACTTATGCTTTTCTTTGTATTCTTTTTTCTGATATTATTATGCCCCCTTAACATTCTCTATGATGCCAGTCTAACATCACTATTTAAGACTATAACCTTCCTCTAAGATTCTTTATCTCTTGTTTTGCTTTATTTTTCTCTTTATCATCTCCCTTAGTACAACATCAACAGTATCTTTCTTATTTTTCATGTTTATGTTCTGCACTGGAAGAATATGTGTCTGTTTGTTGCAGTTTCTTATGTGTCTAGAACAATGCACATGGAAGGTATCTGATAAAATATTTATTAAATGAAAGATGGAGGTCAAACTAACAGTCAGGATATAACAATGAATAAAAATGGCATAATCTTTGCTGTGAAGAACTTTCAGTATACACTAAAAGATAAGCCTACAAGTAAATAAATATAATGTCATAATTAAATGCCACAAAATACTGATAGATACAGAAATGAGACTGGTTAATTCTTCCTGAGATAGTTAGGGAAGTCTTTCTTAAAGAGTAAATATAAAATTGTCAGGGAGAAGGATTGGCAAAGAAGGGTAGATTTTGTTTAGCATGTATGGATAATGTAGTTGTAGCCCAAGGAGCAGTATTGCTGGGACAGTATTCCCCGGCAGGTGAATACAGATGAAAAGGAAGCATTGCTTATGTGAGCACTTGTGTAGATCACTTCTGGCTAACAGCATTAAGTGCTGAGTACAATATTTCTGTCTTTGTGGTCTTCTTTGCCTCTCTGCCAGAGGATGCTTTTGCTCAGGAAGAGCCACCTCATTCTCCAATTGTTTCTTGCCAAGTTGGTGCATTGCCTGTGATTGTTTCCCAGCGTTCTACAGCTTGACGTTTGCTTTCATGTATCCTTATGGTGTTTCTTATGCCTGCCCTGCTTTCGGGCTACATATGTTGTACCATTTTATACTTGGAGACCTTCCAAATTGCATGAGAGGGAATGAGACCAAAGTGGTTGCCTTTAGCCAGAGGAGGGTAGAAGGCAAAAAATTGAAGTTCTCCAAATCAGAGGTGAAATAACTGAGAAATCAATCATCAGTCCATTTTCTGGACTTTGGTAGAAGTGTAGACAAGCCATCTAAGAGTATCAATAACACTTTCTCAGGTACACACCAAATAAACTTTACATAGATTCTAAGTAACAACTGGCCATTAAAAATTGAATATTCAATTCTTTTTTTTTTTTTTTTTCTGGTCGTGGGGCCTGAACTCTGGGCCTGGGCGCTGTCCCTCAGCTCTTCAGCTCAAGGCTAGCACTCTACCACTTGAGCCACAGTGCCACTTCCGGCTTTTTTCTTTTTGCTTATATGGTGCTGAGGAATCGAACCCAGGGCCTCATGCACGCAAGGCAAGAGCTCTACCACTGAGCCACCTTCCTAGCCCCTTGAATATTCAATTCTTATCTACTTGGGATAGTATAGACCACAATTTCAGTAATGTATTTATTTATGTAAATGACAGATATGATGATTTTAAAGGTGAAATAAGTTTAATGGCCTTTCATTTCTTGGCTTATGTAACCAAATAAACTATTAAGAAATTAAAACATTGCTCTTTTGTGGAACAGAATGCTTAGAATGAAATCATCTCTCAGAAGTCTATTACTGAAATGAAATTCTTTTTTTTTTTTCACATTGATACTGACCTTTCAGAATGATGCAAATTTGGTACTGGCTAGAAGGTAACCTTTTGTAAAGTTATCACATCCAACTCTGTAATTGGGGACTTATGCAATTCAAACTCTCAAGAAGCATTCATAAAGAGTGAAAAATATGAGGATACAATGATGGGCAATAATGGAAATTATTGGAGACTAATCAAAATATTGATCCCACAATAAATGAGTTAGGAACAATGACATAGACAATATAAAGCATGATCCACCTCCTCCATGAACGCTTATTCTAGTTGAGTGGACCACACACACATACACACACACACACACACACACACACACACACACACACACACACACATCAACATTGTGAATGAGATGGTAATGATAGTATTGCTGAGCACTGGCAAGGACTATAGATATTTTATATATGGAGAATTGCAAAAAGGGTGGGGGGAGAATAACCTTAGATGAGCTGATTAGATAAGTTCTGAGTGAGTAGAGAGACACACCAAGGTCCTCCCAGAAGAGGAACAAAATAAAATGCATGAGTAAATGTACGTAGATGCTCAAGGGTAGAGCTTACTGAGCAAACTTTAAGAATCATGTGAGGGGATTTGAAAGAGTCCAGGACATATTTGGAAGTCTTGAAGGCTGCATGCCAGTCTGACTTTTATTCTTTTGGAAAGAAGAGCTATAGGTCTCTGATTAGAAGAGTAATTCCAGGAAGTATTTAAGGAAGCATGAGGTCCCTATGGTATTATCAAGGTACAAGACTAAAGAATTGGTTGGACTTAGTATAGTGGCTAGTGTTACATGTTGGCCATACCAGCTAAACAGGCTTAAGATAGCTATTTAAGACAATCTAGTCATAAATGTAAATAAAACATAGTAACAAAAGGAAAAAGGATGAAAGAGTAGCTCAAGTGGTAGAGAACCTGCTTAGCAAACACAAGTCCCTGAGTTCAAACTCTAATACCATGAACAACAAGAAAGAATTGACTGAGAATGTGTATAAGGCTTACCCCAGAAGCATAACTCTAGTGTTTAAGTGTCTGGGTTCGAATATTGTTATCACCACATGAGGTGTGACCTTAGATAAGTCAGCTAACTCATGAGTGCTTCCTTTCCCTCATTTGTAAATTCTGAGTATTGACAGGATTCCCTAGTGACTTTGAAAATGAACTGATCTGCATAGGGCTTATAGAATAGCATGTGGTAAGGTTTTCATCAGTGTTTTATTTAAAACAGTGCCAAATTCTTTCCAAGCAGAGATCACTGATAAGATTTCTACACCATTATGTATATACATCACATTTTCTTGATCCATTCATTTACTGAGGGGCATCTGGGTTGGTTTCATATCTTAGCTATGGTAAATAATGCAATAAACATAGTTGTGCTGGTAGCTTTAATATGGTCTTGTTTGTGATCATTTGGGTAAATGCCCCAAAGTGAGATTGCTGGGTCATAGGGAAAGCCCATGTGGAGTATATACACAATGGAATTCTATGCCTCCATCAGAAAGAATGACATTGCCCCATTTGTTAGGAAGTGGAAAGACTTGGGAAAAATTATATTAAGTGAAGTAAGCCAGGCCCAAAAAAACATAGGTCCCATGGTTTCCCTTATTTGCGATAACGGTCAGACAAGTTGATGTTAGGCAAAATGAATCCAAAGATAAGGACTCAAATTGTTTTTCTTTCTTGCAATTGTTTCTAACATATTTATAAGATATTTCTTTGTTTATTGTGAAAATACTGTACAGAGGGATTACAATTACATGGGCAAGGTAATGAGTACGTTTCTTATCAAGCACTGTTGCCTCCTCCTTTGTTTCCCTTTCCCATCTCCCAACCCCCTGATTCCCCAATCCCCCACACCCCCTCTCCTGGCCAAAGTTGTAAAGTTCGATTTTCAACATAACGACTTGTACATCTCATTGTTGTAATGGGTCCACCTGTATCCCTATTTAAACAATTTGTTTTTTCCCTTCCCCTCCACAAATTATACCAACCTCAAATAAAATGAAAGCAGGGGTTATACCGTGGGGGAGGGATATACAAATCAACAAAGAAATCATCTTATAAATATGTTAGAAACAATCGCAAGAAAGAAAAAAAATTTGAATACTTATCTTGGGGTTCACTTCACCTAACATCAACTTATCTGACCTTTTCTACTTGTCTCAGACAAAGATATTTCTTTGTTGTTTTGTATGTCCCTCCCCCATGGTTTAACCCCTATTTTCACTGTATTTGATGTTGGTATAATTTGGGGAAGGGAAGGAAAAAAACAAATTGTTTAAATAGGGATACAGGTGGCCCTATTGCAACAATAAGATGTACAAGACATTATGTCGAAAAACGAACTTTACAACTTTGGCGGGGGTGGGAGATGGGTAGATGGGAGAGCAGGGATGGTAAGGGGAAACAAAGGAGGAGGCAACAATGCTTGATAAGAAATGTACTCATTATCTTGCTCATGTAATTGTAACCTTTCTGTACAATATTTTCACAAAAAACTTATTAATTAAAAAAAAGAGATTTCTACACCACTTCTAAAATGGGCATACTGACAACCATACATTGTAGAGGTATGGTTATGGTCAATTTACAGCATTGTTCCAAAATTTTACACAAGTAAAATTCGCTATTTTGTTTTCATTTGGATAGATTCATTTGGTAAAGATGACAAAAGAATCCAAAACAAACAAACAAACAAAATCTAACTTCTGCAGTGTCTGAACTTCTACAGTGTCAGACTCTGGCCAAAACCTAATTTGGGTTTCCTGCAGAATGATGAAGACCACAAGACAGAAAAATGAAAATTCCTTGTTTGGGGAAACATGATACTTTTTTGTTAGTGCCAAAACAAATTTATTTGAACAAGTAAGAAAATGGATTTGGAAATTTTAAAATAAAAATTGCAAGCCAGACAGGATGTAGCCTGGTTCAGGAGGAAATGATTCATGGAATTAACGTAAGGAGAGAGCTCTGTTTTACAAGACATAAACAATCAGTAAGTTTTAACTTAAACACTTGGTGCTATGGTGTCTGTCCAGTCCTTGTCAATTACAGGTGAATAATGAGAATCTAGTGTAGAAACAAGACAAAATTCCTGTGTGTGTATGTGTGTGTGTGTGCATGTATGGGTGTTACATGCATATACTAAATGCATTTGCTGGCTATCAACTTTACTTAAAATTACATGCTTCCAAATGATTTTAAATTTCACTATAGTTTTGGCAGAGGGAAGATTTCCTCTCCATGAATAAAGGTAGTGAGAGCAAAGGCACTTAGTAGAAACTGTCTGTATGCCGAGGGGTACTGTTAAAGATCTCGCTCCTTTTTCCTTTTCCTGTGAAAAGGGTAGGGAC